AAACACAACACAAGTTTCTTGAAGAGAGTGTCGACCACAAGTCTAATAAAATATACCAAATTGGGTACCACTAATCACAATCACAAATTCAATTAAGTGAACGTAGATTCATCCGGAGAAAAGGGGAATATGAACCTTTCAATTTGATCATAAAAAGTATTTTTGAGAAAGGTTAGGATACAAAATCATATACTAAAAAACTACTAAAAAAAATACATGCATTCGTTCATCATCTTCATCATAAATGGGTCCAAATTAAACCCTATGACACGTTGGTGTATAGAGGTAATATTCCACCTTTGACTGACACGAAAATCAGAGAAGAGAAAAGAGACTTTTCATAAGTCAAAATGCTGGCTTTTCTAATATCCAATTTGCTTAATTGAGCCATATTTCCTTCATTTCTAATTTATAATTAAAAAATTTTGCATAGAAAGAATGCATGAATTATTATCTGCGCAATGATATTTATTTTCCTGTATTTTTACAAAAATAAAATTTAACTCTTTAAAGCACGTGTTGGTTATAGTATTATCATTATTTTATATATCATCATGATATGATAGTGATATGATGACATATATATTTTATTTTAACTCAAGAATAATAAAAAAAAAGTATACAAAGTACTCATTAATTATTATATACACAATGATATCAATTTTGTTATGTTTTGAGCAAACAACACGTATTTGATGTCATCTTATCACTATCATACGATTCAAATCATGACCTTACCACTGTGATAAGACAGACAACATTATCATACCATTGTGATATCATGATATTATCATACTACTGTGATATGAGAGTGGTATGATGACATCAATTTTTTTTCTCTTGCTCTCATATAAGATTTTATTCTATATTATCAGTGTTATACTAACATCATACCACTATAGTACGATTTCATAATATCATCTCACAATTGTCATATCATGATCTTACCACTATGATATCATTGAGCAAAAACCATGTGCTTGCTGAATTGTTATCATTCACATAATGATTTTACCACTGTGGTAAGATGACATGTACATTTTTTGTTAAAAAATAAATCAAAATAGATATCATTTTGTAGAGCATAAAAAACCTAATATGTCTATAGTTTTTATGAATCTGACAAATGAGCTATGGTTTGTTGAATAGTCACAATAGACTAAAAAAATAATCTAACAGCTTGCATGAAAATTCATGCAAACACAAAAGAATCACGTCAGCTGGGCATAGATTCTGGTAAGCTTTCTCCCCGAATATGGAAAGAGAAAGGGAACACACAAACTTAAATGCATATGAAATTGTTTTATCTTTGATATTTCAACAATTTCGTTGCTTCGCTTGACCGTTACTCTACCGTTTCATGACAGAACAGGTCTGTAAATGCATATGAAATTGATGTAACCGATAGCTTACAAGTTAAGCAATTGAGGTTTCAGTAAAACCTATTTCACCTCGGCTAAATTACATGGTTGGTCACTTAAATTATATAAATCTTTCTCGTTTGTCACCCGAATTACTTTTTTTTTCTTAGTGACCACTAACTTTACGAATTGTTTCACCGTTAGTCACCGTCAGTTAGTCTCCATCAAACTCTGTTTACTCCGTTAGTTTTCTGATTACGTGGCAAACAGAACTACTAATTAGACCAACAGAAGGGTGAGGTGTAATTTTTTTATTAAAAACAAAAATTAACCAAAAAAGGGAATTGCTGACTAGTGACTAGCCTCCTCGCCTCGTATGCTCTGCATCACAAGAAAATGCACAACAACAACTCCACACCCGCCACCTCCTCGCCTCTCCAGGCCTTCTCTGCCGCCCTAGCTCTCTCCTCGATCCTCCTCTCCGCCACCGCTCTTGGCCGTCACCGACATCTCCGGCCTCACCCCGTGCAAGGAGTCAGTTCGCCAAGCGAGAGAAGCAGTCCCTGAAGAAGCTGGAATTATCGCTGAAGCTCTACGCCACCGACAGCGCCCCTGCCCTGGCGATCAAAGCCACAATGGAGAAGACTACGCGGTGGTTCGACAACTACGGCAAGCAAGGCCTTCCAGGGCGGCTCAATTTGATTCACAGACATCAACGGAGAAAGGGATCGAACTCGGTGAACCTGCGGAGGATCGGAGGCCTCGATTTGGGGCTTTTCTTTTTTGATTGGTCCCTCCTCCTCCCCCGTCATCTCCGTCCCCACCTTGCGATTGAGCAAAAGAAGACAAGCTTCAGTGAGCTGTTGTCTTTACAGGAAAGCAGAGTTCAGAAAACAGAATGCAGAGGGAACCAAAGACAGAAGAAGGAAAGCGACGTTGATTCATAACGGCGACGTATCGATGATGCTCTTCCCTTTGTCTCGAGACGGCGCCAGGAGCATTGCAAAAAGTACAGTGGGGACGTTTTCCAGGAATGTATGGTCTTCTGGATCCTTGAACAGCAAAGGTTGTTGGTTCAGTGGTAAGGGTTTTGCCCTGTTGAGTACCAAACAACTGTCTCTCATGTTGTAATGCTCGCTGGAAAACTCTGTCTATGGGAGGTAATGTGTCTCCAAACAGAACTTGAGACCTCACAGTGGCGAAGTTGTCATTCAGGCCACGAAGAAAATGAACAACATTGTTGATAGATTTGTAACCAAGGACAGTATTCATGGAGATACAGGTGGTGTGACTCGTAGCTGTGCAGCGACAGGGATCTATAGGCTGGTAATTGTCTAATTCATCTTGTAATGCTATGAGATTGCCATAGTATTCAGTCACAGTTTGGTTACCTTGTTTGATGGTACCAATGGACTCAATGAGCTCGGCAATGCGAATCATATCTCCTTGGCCATAGCGAGATCTCAGACTGTGTCAGGCTTCAGAGGCGAGCTTGCTGGACATAATGGTTTTCTTGATGCCAGGTTCGACAGCTTGTTGGATCCAGCTGATAACCATGATGTTGTTGCGTGTCCAAGAGGAGAACTGTGGATCTGTTTCTTCAGGGGCAGGGATTGTGCCATTGATGAAGCCAAGCTTGTTCTTGGCGGCCAATGCGTTGAGCATATCCTTGCTCCAGTCGTTGTAGTTGGTGGTGGTCAGCTTCTCACCTACCAACAGCAACCCTGGTTGATCAGAACCATAGAGGTAGTAAGGATCCGCCATGGGATCCATGTTTGGGTGAGCTTCCTGAGCAGCCATGTTGAAGGCGGCGACTAGGGTTGCTCTGATACCATAACACGAAATGTAGTTTTGGAAACCCTAACTTAGTTTTCATTGATCATTGTTGTGGGTTTTATACAAGGATTGATCAAAAGAAGACAAGCTTCAGTGAGCTGTTGTCTTTACAGGAAAGCAGAGTTCAGAAAACATAATGCAGAGGGAACCAAAGACAGAAGAAGGAAAGCGACGTTGATTCATAACGGCGACGTATCGATGATGCTCTTCCCTTTGTCTCGAGACGGCGCCGTTCCACTTGGTTTGCTTGTAGCTTTCCCAGAAACGATGTCGCTCCAAGTGACCCGCGAGTTGACCATTGCATTTGAACTGAAAATTTGGGGATTTTCATCTGATAGTAGATGGGAGAATCCATGTTTTGACGGGGAAGAGGTGAGAGTACTGAGAGGAAACGGCAACGAGCGGCGGCGGGAGAAGATGACGGTGGCGCAGCAGAAATTGGATTCGACGGCGGTGGTAACATTGACCTCTCCGATCGGACGAGGAAGCCGATGGTGAAAACGACTTCGGTGGCTGATTGATTGCGAAGGCGGCAGACTGGAGACAGGGACGCTGAGGACACCATGGATTCACTTTGGAAGCAGCAGCGACGGAGCGGGCAACGGAAGCAGGAGACTGTTGCAGCGGCGGCAAACAGGGGACAGTGAGTGACTGGGGACGTCTTGGATGGACGATGCCGGGGTTGGGCGGCCGGCGGGAAGATTCTTTTCCCCGAGTACCAGGGGTGCGGGGTGGTTTATCCTACCCGGGGAGCAATGGTGAGAAGAGGGATAAATTTTTTTTTTAATAAATTGACATGCCATTAAGTTAATAATCTAATCAGCAGTTTTGTTTGCCACGTCATTAAAAAACTAACGGAGTTTGATGGAGGCTAACGATTGGTGACTAACGGTGAAACGATTTATAAAGTTAGTGGTCAATAAGAAAGAAAAATAATTTGGGTGGCAAACGTGAAAGATTTATATAATTTGAGTGACCAATCATGTAATCTAACCATTTCACCTCTAATGTACAACTTTCGCTCTTGTTTCAAAGTAAAGATGGCAAGTGGTTTTGATCCATGGTGAATTGACGGATACATAAATCTGTGGATTGTATCAAATGGATTGGTGGATTGGATCAAAGATTCAAGTGGGGTCTAAACGTTAGACCAATATAAATTTAAAAGTTTAGTTTGAATGATATTTTTGTATAGAAAATCAATTTTATATATTAAAATATAATTTACTAACGATATATGAATCCACTAATCTAATTATATGTGGATCAAATGGATCAAATTTAAATGAATTATCTTAGTTGGATATTTAAGTTGACGGATAAAATTGATAGATTGGATTGAAAATTCTCTAACATTCTAAAAGAAAACAGCCATGTCTATCCAATTATTACTATGTATGATTGTTACATAAGAAAATGACAAGCCTATGCTCATAGCTAATTGTGCAAGCCAAAAGCAACGAGAGAGAGAGAGACTTCCATGGCCCTCAAATAAGAACCTGTGACAACAGTAAACAAATATAAACCGGAATTCCAGAAGAAACAAGTCTGCTGTTTCCGAGTCAAAACTGATGGGATTTCTAACTAATCATTTCGAAAAACGGTTGTATGGAAGGATCTTGGAAGTGAAACTGTGAAAGTCGTCTAGTTTTCCCCCCAGCCAGCCTTCATTGTTCTGCTATTTCACTCTTAACTTCTTCAATAGAACACGTCATTCTTGCTAATTTCATTGGACTTCCATTTCATACTACTTCTCCTTCTGCTCGCACTGCTTCTAGAAGATACCTAACGCATCAGCGGCGCATGAATGGAGTAGGAACATCGTCCCTTATGGCGGTTGAGAAAGTGACAGACGATGAATCCCTCACATCCTATGCTCATCTGAGTCATCTCAAGTCCAACATCACAGAATCATCTTTGATTCTCGAAAAGCTTTTGCTATCAACTACTTCCCCTATATGGGGATGGGGGATCAGTCACACTCCTCCCACCTTGAAAACAACTTCCCCGGCCCATTTACAGAAGCTCACATTCTTCAAACCTTCCCACCAACAAAATGGCTTTGTGCCACACCATCATCATCTTGGAAGTGGTTGAAAACTCCATGTGGTGGCTTAACTCACCTGCAGTTGCAACTTCAAATGCAAGGAAAAAGGAGGGTGTTAATAAGCATTACGTTTAAGGTCAGAAGGATAGTGGAGAGAAACAAGTTATTAATAGTAAATAGAAACCAACTCTGGTGTGTGATTGGAAGTGGTGGAAATACATGCATCTGTTTTCACAGTAACAATCCAGTCAGTCACCACTTCCTGCTCACTTGTTCAACTTCCTACAACAGGTGAAAAAGGAATTCCACAATCATGACGGAGGAACCATTACTGACTGAATCAACACCCCGAATCCTTCAAAGGAAAACATCCAATGGGGACAAAAGACCTCGGCAGTACCTTCTTCCAACTCTGCTTTTAGTGCAGGAAAGATGACAAAAAATTCCATCGCCTTCCCTAACCAAATAGCCTAAAATTAAATTATAAGAGAACACAACACACAGAGCCGCCAAGCTTTGATGATTTCTATCATCAAACGGAACAACATGATATTAACAGCAAAGATTAATCAAGTAGAGTGGTTATGATTATAACACTTGTCATCATTAAGCAAGCAGTTCATTATATGGATGCTACAGTTACAGTTCGGAACAGGTCTGTAAATGTATATGAAATTGATGTACCGATAGCTTACAAGCCAAGCAATTGAGGTTTCAGATCAGTAAAACCTAACAAAAAACATCAAACTTCTTTGTTGGGTAGTTCCAAACAAAGCAAGTTCATTCACATATGAGGTACAACATGTACCATTCCAACCCAAAGAAGTCTAGTTTTTGTTTTATCACCCAGAGGCAGCGAAGAAGCAAACTAACATCCACTTACTCAGCCAAAAGGCTTCAAATTTACCATTGAATCAAGAACCTGAAAGAAAGCAGAGAACAAACTCAAATCTAAAAGTACAAGCAGAAGCACAAAATCCTACTATGAAGTCAACACATACGTTGAACTACGCCGCATTTCGTCATTGTTGACAAACCTATCTTCCAATCTATCCAGGAAAGATTCTGAATTCTAAAAACTACCCATCAGCCACTCTAAAATGGTGAACGAGCAACCATTTCCAAGGCCAAAATTTTCCCCACTAACTGTATCAGCAAACCACAAAGAGCATAACTACGTCCGAGGAGCAAGACAGTAGCCATTTGATCAGTTGCATTCTCTCCTCAAACAAACCAAGCACACAAAGAGGAGGAAGAAGATGGGAGGAGGAGAGAAAGAACCTATATAGAAGCAGACCATAAGTTAAGCCGGACGTAGGCGTGCATCCAACATCTCATTCACGGACTCATACCAATATTAGTGCACTTTCCTCCTGCAGAAAGGATATATAGAAACAATGATCATGAGCTGAAAGCGGCAGCAGAATCACAGCTGTTGGAGAAAAAAGAACGACGAAGGCGACGTAAATTACCCTTCTTGAAATAACGAAAATCGTTCTGACTGCGAAGCCCAGACGGAGGCTCTGAGAGGACGAGTGGGAGAGAAAGAAGGCAGAAATCCCTAGCAAAGAAAGGAACAACCATGAAAAAATTCCATTGAAGAAACTGTTAAAAGTAGGGGGGAAAACAACGAGCATATAAGAAAGCCAATCAACCTTTGCTAGAATCAAGATCTGAGATGGGCAGTCCGTCGTCACCTCATCTACCCTGCTGCTGTTCGATCTGGGCTCGTCTCACAAGGAATTGAAAGCGCGAGAGACGGAAGATCACCATTGGAGAGACAACTTTGTAGATAGAACTCACTAAAGAAGTGATTAGCAGCTCTCACTCGCCGACTCTCCAAGAAAGAGGAGAGAGAAGTCTTCTGCGAGGGTGGGGCCGCCGGCCCTGATCCCAAATTAATACCCACCATGCCCAAACAATGATAGCCCAACCCAAGCTAATTCTCTCCAAGCCCAAATCCTTCTGCCGCCAACGGAGAAGATGACCGGAAACAGAGAAAGGCGAATCGGAAGTCGGAAGGGCGAAGGAAGAAAGAGAAAGTGACAAGTCCACCTGCCACCTGGCAACGTAGGGTACTACAGATAGTGATCCAGCTGCCACCTGGCAAAGTCTCCCACCAGTCCACCACCAAGGAAAGAAAGTAACAAGACTAAAAAATTTAATGAAAAAAAAAAAAAAACTGAGCTGCTATGGAAGTATCTTGGAAGTGAAAGTGACTGACCATGAATCCCTCAAAACAACTCTTAACGTCACAGAATCATCTCTGATTCTCTAAAGCTTTTGCAATCAACTACTGCAACTACTTCCCTTAAATGTTGATCACGCTCCTTCCACCTTGAAAACAACCTCCCTCATTTACAGAAGACACGTTCTTCAAGCCTTCCCACCAAAATGGCTTTCTGCCACACCATCGTCTAGGATTCTTCTGTTGCTACCAACTACTCCAAGCACTTCCTTTATTTGGGGACCACACAGTCTTCAAGCTTTACCTTCTTTTCTTCTCACCAATTTGCTTTGTGCCACTCCATCATCTCTGATTCTCTGCAATCTTTTGCTACTGCCTGCTGCAACTGCCTTCCTTGTTTGGGGGATCACACTCCTTGGACATAAACATAACTAACCCCCTTTACAGATAACACAATCTTCATGCCTTCCCACCTTTTCTTACTACCAATGTTGATTTGTGGCACCTTGCATATAAATATATCATAGTTGCACCTCATTTTTCAATCATCAAACTTCAACCATCTTTATTCTCTGATAATGGTTGCCATAACTCTCTATTTTCTTCTCAAATTCCTTGCCATCCTCTGTTGTGCTACAAAACTTTATCCCCAACACAACACAACACGTACATAGTCCAAAAGCCCTTACCTTTCTCCACTTACGAATCATGACACTTTTCCCTTCTGAGCTCATTAGCCAACCCCATATCCGACTAAGAGTTGTTCCTCTACAGCTACACTCATGTTATGCATGGGTTTAGCTGTAGATTGATAGTTTGGGAAGGGGAAATGCAAAGAGGCAGACCACTTCAAGCTTTCGTACTGCAGCCGGAAGCTGATCGGTTCTCAATTATTCCTCAAATGAGCTAAAGCTGAAGAAGGCCACCGTTTAGTAAACGCCCAGGGCTTAAGCTATGGGAGTCATATATGCTCGACAGCAACAGGCAACTTCGTCGCCCACCCGAGTTACTCTGGTTATGCGAAAGGCACAGCCAGGGGAGTTGATCCTCGCGATCACATTGCTATGTACGCAGTGCTCAATTCATCTACTGAACATCCCTCTAGTGTGGATGTGTTGGCTGCTTTCGACCAGGCCATGGCCAACGGCATTGATGTCATATCTTTGTCCATCAGCGTCGAAGTTTTATCTCCGTATGAAGATGCAATCTCCATGCCCTCGCTTACCGTGGTAGACAGAGGGATTTTTGTGGCCGCAGCGCCTGGTAATTAGGCAGGTCCATGGCAACTCCACAACCGAGCACCTTGGATCACCACAGTGGGGGCCAGCACCATCGACAGGAGCTTCACAGCGGAGATCATTCTGTCAAACGGAGCAGTAATTGAAGGATATTCCTACTTCCAGCTGGACATTTTCGTTGTTGATGTTCTCTTGTACCACTGCCAATGCAAGCTCGGATGTGACATTTCCTCGACAAATCGATCAGAGGCTGCTGGAAAGATTGCCCTCTTTGATGATGTTCACCCGGTAGAGCTTCACTCAATGCCAAGCGTTCAAGAGTCGGGGGCAATTGGCGGATTGCTAGTGACCAATCATTCAGAGACACATATTTCACCCTGACGATGGCTCCTTCCCGATGATAGCTCTGTCCCAAGAGTCAGGGGACACAGTGAGAAAGTACATAGCTGGTTGTCGGGGGAAGGGAAAGTGAAGAGCTTCAGGTTTCAATTGACGAAACTTGGCGTCAGACCAGCTCCCAATGTGGCTGCTTAATGGGCGAGAGGGCCAGATATGATCAATCCAAGCATTCTTAAACCGGATCTCTTGGCACCTGACCACCAGATCCTGGCGGCCTTCTCCCGCGAGCTTCCATATAAATCTCTTGTAGAATACAGCGTGGTGACGGATTATGGCCTGCTGTCTGGCACATCCATGGTGGATCCGAACGTCCCCGATGCGGCTGATCTGCTCAAGTTCATCCACCCCCAACTTCCATTCGATCGGCCCTAATGACCATGGGTTATGTAGTCGATAACTCCGACAAAATCTTCACCGAGCAAAAACAGATAAACCGATGACCCCGGCAGAATTTGGGGCTGGTCATATTGATATGAAGAAAGCCATGCATCTGGGGGCTTGTTTTTGACCTCAGAGCACAAGATTACGTGGATTTCCTTTGCAGCCAGAATTTCACGAAGAAGCAGATCGACGTCATCTTGAGGCAGCACGGTTGGCATTGCATGACCAAATTGAAAGTGGCGGAATTGAACTACCCTTCTCTGTCTACAACAACATTCAAAGTCGGATACAAGTGTATCCGTTCTCCTCGGACTCTTATCTCCGACTTTGAATGTCGTTGTAGTGGGTATTTCAAGTCCTCGAGTTTCAATTCGGTCTTGCAATGCCAACCGCTCTGCCTCAAGATGGCGTCGATCTGCTTCTCCGTGAAATTCTGACCGCGCAGGAAATCCACGTAATCTTGTACTCCGAGGTCATAAACGAGCCCTGGATCCATGGCTCTCTTCAGATCGATATGACCAACCCCAAATTCCGCCGGGTCATCAGTTTATCTGTTTTTTGCCATGTGAAGCTCTTGTCGGCGTTGTCGACTGCATATGTCGTGGTCATCAGGGAAGATCGAATGACAGCTAGGGGGTGGACGGACTTGAGCAGAGCAACCGCACCGGCGATGTGCGGGGCCACCATGGATGTGCCAGACAGTAGGCCATAATCCGTCACCACACTATATTCTCCAAGAGATGTATATGGAAGCTTGCGGGAGAACGCCGCCAGGATCTGGTGGCCAGGTGCCAAGAGATCCAGTTTCAGAATGCTTGGATTGATCACGTCTGGCCCTCTCGTC